ATGTGATTAGGTATTTTTGTCATGACAAGAGTCTAGAGTGAAGACTACATGGTGGAGTGGACCTGGGGGAGGGTTTGTAAAACAATGAAAGAATTTGTCTTTTATTTTTCCAAGAGGATAGTGTAATAGGGGGTAAGGTTGGGAGGGGAGAAAAGTGCAACTATGAATGAATGGAAATCCAAAGTCTCTGTAAATTTTTACTGAAATTAAAAAAAGATAAAAAAAGAAAATGGGTCAGAACGGCTAATGTTCTTTAGTCTGGCTATTGAAGTTTATGAAACAAACGTAGATTCGTTTAGTGCTTGCATTTATGTTTAACTCGTTCCCTCTTTCACACACAGATCTTGGAGGCAGATCTGGACCAGAGCGGTCCCTTTAAAGCCCTGGAAAGGGGCGCCTCGCTCAGGCCACGCCCCGTCACGTGTCTGCGGTTTCGCCTCGAGCGGGGCGGGGCTTGCGTCTCTCAGTGCCGTCAAGGCTGGTTCTCTGTCAGTCGCGAGCGAAGCTAGAGAGCAGGCGGCTGTTCGACTTCAAGAGCGGAACAGAGTATGCCGACCCCTCCCCCAACTCCCACTCCGTGAGCCCCCACCCCCAACGGTCGCGGGCCGCCGGCAGCCCCGGCCAGAGCCTGGAGAAATGGCGCCGCGGCCCGACCTCCCCTTCCCAGCCTCCCTTTATGCCCTTCTGTCTCGCTAACCCCACGCCTCGTGCGCCGCGGTCCCGCTAAGTGATACCTGCTCCGGGAACGCGCCGTAGGGGGCCGGCGCGGCGGCTTGGGGCGACCGGGTGCGGCCAGGTGCGGGGGACGCACAGCCGCGGGGCTGGGGCCCGGGGCGACCCCCTCCCCGGACAATGCGGCGGCTGGGGGCGGGGCCCCCTTCATCTCGCGGCGTCACGCCTGCCCCTAAAGTCGGGGTGCTCCTGGGGCGGGCGCCCGTCCATGGAGGCCGAGGGCGGTGGGAGAGGGGAGAACGGCCGAGCTGCGGGCGGCGCGGGGCGGGAGGGAATGCTTGGAGGGAAGAAAATGGCGCTGGGAGCTAGTCCCTCCTCTTCCCACGCCGTGTCCTCCGCGTTTCGCCGCCTCCCACGCCCCCTCCGGCCGCCCGGCCTCCCCTCGCCCCAGCCGCTGGCCGGCCCGGGGGGCGTGGACGGACCCCGCTGCCTTCGTTTTCCCTCTTTCTCACCTCGTTCTTGCTCATCTTCCCCACGCCGTCGTCGAAAAGAACGCAGAATTTTTTTCCTTTTTTAACTAGGTTTCTGGAAGATATTGGTTGAAAAAATGGTTTGGCTGAATTACAAGCCCCTCACTCCCTTGTTGATCCATCCATAAAGACTCATTAAGTCATGGTTAAAAGAATAAGTAAATAAATGTTTTACTAGAAGTTCGAGCCTGGTCCCTTTGACCCGGTTTTTGTTTTTGGATAGACTTCTACAGGGTTGAATGGGAAATGATTCTTTGAAATCCTTTTAGGGCACCCCGCCGCCGCCGCTCCAGGCACTAACCTGCGATCTAGTTATATTTGGATGTTTCAAAGTGGAAAGTAGGTTATGATCATTTTAATAACCTTAAAAAGTTATTTCCCCTCCGGCGATGTTGTTGGCACGAGTTAAACTGATCCTGCGAGATTGAGTTTGTAAGATGAAGCAGGAGTGAAACAGGAGTTGTATCCATTGCTGCTTCCCTTGGACTTAATAGCTTTTTCATCCTTAAGAAATGACTGATTAAAGTGGCCACCGTTTGGTTGAACCTGGTTTGAGCTTTTGTAATTTATTTGCTAATAATCGGATGGCCTATTTCTTTTACCTTGACCTCATCTAGTGCCACGCACTCCATCCCAGGGCTAACGGGAGTTTGGTCTAGGGGCTAGATTACAGCTTTTCTCTTTTTAACAGAAATTGAAGTGTCTCTCCTCTCTTCAACATTTACAAAATGTGTATTTTATCAGGCCCTATAACCCCAGGCCACAAACCCTGCTTGGAGTTTGATTCTAGGTCATAGAGACCTTCCTTGGGGTAATGGAGGCTGTAAATCTTAGAGAAGAAATTCCCTCATCTTTCTTTTAGTGAACATCTGGTGGATTCGAACTGCGGACTTTTCAGTTAGCCCCCGTGTTGTCTTTAGTACATAGAAAAGTGAATAAGACTCAAGGGTTTTTTTCCAAGTTGGAAATGACAAAAATAAAAGGTACTTTGGTAATTACAGTGTTACCTCCTGGTATTTATATGGTTTTTGAAAAGAGGTGTTGTGTGCCTTGGGATTCCTTGACATTTGAAATTTAGATGAGGTAATGGTTTTATTTCTGAAAATAAGGCACATGCCTTATGCTTAGGCAGTTGAAGACAAGGCATTAGGCTAAGTGCCTCTATGTCTTGGGAAGTAGGTCTTAGAAGGAATTTGAACTTATGTAAGCCTACCTGATAACCATCTAAAATGACGGAAAAGCCTAGTGACTGAGTATAATAAGAGATTGAGAGTGTGGGATGTGCATGACATTTAGTTCCTGCTGGGTGGTTAAGAACATTTCCCTTTGCATGCTGTTTTCAATGTAGAAGAACATAAATTTAAAAACAACCACCCTAGCCTTTGTCTTTAGGATGAGCGCTGCCGCAGGGTTGGTAGAATGGAGTTACTTGTCCTGAATTTTCCTTTTGGGCAAGTAAGGTGAAGGCAATCAAACAACTTGTAAATTATCTGCATAATGTGTTTTTCTTTCAGAATGCCTAAATCAAAGGAACTTGTTTCTTCAAGCTCATCGGGCAGTGATTCTGATAGTGAAGTCGACAAGAAGGTGACTATAAATACTGTTCATATCTACTTTTAAAAAGGCACATCAGGTCTTAAAATGAAACTATCTTCTCCACAGGTGTTTCTGAAACTGAAGCGTCTCTCTCTGAAGCACTTAACAACTAGTGACAAGAATGCTTACTTGTACTCGGTTTCACATTTTAGGACCCTAAATCAGACAGAAGTGGTCATTTTAATAATTCCTTTATTGGATCACTGAAAAGCTAAAGTTACTTTAGATCTTAGGGAGATAGAATTAGCCCACAACTGCTTTTTGTGTCTGACTAATCAGGCGGAATTACCTGGATTCCTTGATTTTAATGCTGATGTTAATGGCCCTCTCAGCAGCTACTGGTATTTATCCTCTCAAAGAGGATGACTAAATAGAAATATTCACTTGTGGATGTTGAATAAAGCAACATTCACAAATGAATATTTATATATTAATAATGTATATTTATCTATTCGTAATGAATACTTAATGAATATATCCACAAGTCACTTGTAGATGTTGAATGAAGCAACATCCAGCAAAGCTAACATGAAGAGTGGCCTGCTTTTTTATGGCATTGTTTTTTCTGCATGGAATGTCAACACTGATGGAGAGGTTGTTAAGTGAACATCTCACTGCAGTGAAACTTCCTCTCATCCCTGCTTATCTCTGGCTACCTTTTATCCCCTGGGTAAAGCTTTCATAGTTGTTTCTGAGCTCAGTGGACAGAAATTGGAGAGAAAGCGTTTATGGGAGTATCTCAGAGAAGTTGGACTTGTGTATGTACATGCAGAGTAAAATATCTAGGACACGGAAATAGGTCTTCAGAGGACATCAACAGCTATATTTACAGCAAATGAAATGTCTTTAAAATTTATATTGTACTTTAGTATGTAGCCTTGTGCACTGAGTATCATTAACCTGTTATATGCTAGACATAACTCAACTTTTTGATTATTGAGTCATACATTTTTGCTGTTGTGCGTTCAATTCAAGCCCTTTGCTGCCTAGTTGATTCTTCTCATGGCAACCTATAGAACAGAGTACAACTGTCCCACAGGATTTTCAAGGATGTAACTCTTTACAGAAGAGGTCTGCTAAATTTTTCTCATCTGCCATAACTAGGGGCTTCAAAATCACAGACATTTTGGGTATCATCAAATTATAGTATCATCAAAGTTCTTCGTTATATTTAATTTTGTATGTACTTAAGTCAAATACAGGGCTTCTTTGAGTAGATGACTTATTGGTAAGGAATTACACTGCCAGCTCGAAGGTACATGGTTCGAATCTACCAGGTGCTCTTCAGGAAGTAGATAATGCAGCCACCTCCTATACTCGATTTACTCAGCAAAATCCCTCTGGAAGGTCAGATTGCAGTTGGTGGTTCCAATAAGATGGAACACAGGAACAACATGAATGCAAATCGGCAGTTGGGTTCCCTCTGGTGGTTTAGTCCATAGGCTTAGCCTAGAGGTGGTGAGTCTTAATCAGAGCCTCTGTAAAGGAAAGATAGGCATTTTCTTGTGCAGTTTACATCCTTGGAAAGAGTCAATTCTTATTCAAGGGCATTGAGGGAGATGAGTAATAGACTTGACAACAGTGGTTGATTGCTAAGCTAATTAAACATCTCAGTGTATTTTTATATTAGAGAATGCTAATCACACAAATATTTTGTATTTGATGAAGATTGGTGAAATATAAAATATTTATAAATACCTATATTTTGGTAAAATAAATCTAGTTTATACTTTTCCATTGAGGAGTATGACTGCCCCCTGCTGTTTGGGTTGGGAACTTTATTAGCTCATTTTGGCACTGAGGATTGGGGTACACGTGACCAAAGCATGTTTATTTTCCTCTACCTCATACTTGGATGAGAGGTGGATGATAGATAAGGAGGAACTAATTCTCATGGCATTGTTGGCAAAGAATATTAAATATACCGTGAACTGCCAAGAGAAGAAACAGCACTGTCTTGGAAGAAATGCCGTCTGCGTGCTTCTTAGAAGGATGGGGAGACTGCCTTTCACATCATTTTGGGCTGTTACCAGGAAAGACATTATCTCTATAAAGCAGAGGGTTGCTGGGAAAGAACGTCGAGGAGATAGGTTGACACGGTGACTCCCATTGGTGGACTCAAGCACAAACGAGACTGAGCATGGCACCAGATTGGGCAGTGCTGAAGCACTCCAGAAGGTTGCTAGGAGTGGGAGCCAACTTGCCGACATTTAGCAAAACAGCTCGTTTTGAGAATGAAATTATTTTAAAAATGTTTATAATACTGCTTTTAAAACATTGTGGTTTTGAATGCTAGCCAAGCGTTGCCCCTTCAGTAATTTTGTGTGACAGTAAAGTACAAAATAGCTCATTTTGAAGTTAAATGGTCATGTCTTAAAAATGAAATGGGTTGAGTGTTTTTCTTCCTCATTGACGTAGTTTGATGGCCATATGGGTAAGGCTGTATCACTACCCTACTGTAACTGTTCTCATTCCTTTAGTATTCATAGGGTTTGCTAAGTCCTGTTATTTAAGAAGTAGATGTCCCGTCCTGCATCCTAGTCTGTCTGAATCAGAGCTCCACCGAACTTTGTCAACCATCGCAGCAGCCCTGTGTTATCTCAGTAGAGCAAACTGACCAACAAATGCTGTGCCACTCAGAACAATGTTCTTCCCAAAGGCACACTATTTTTTTTTTCCAAAGGCACACTATTAAACACTTGCCTGGCCTGTGGTCCTCACACCCAGCCCACTTTTAAATACAAAGGCTCGTCTGTCATGTCCTGATTACTGTGGCTTCCAGTACACAGCTGATTGTTAACTAAATCAGAACTGCCAGTCAGCTTACACAAGCAGTTAAACAGGAGGACTTGTATTGTAGAGGATCAAGGAGTGTGCAGCCTTTGGTATAGATTGCATCTCGATATCAAGAAAACAAATATTTTTACCATGGGACCAGTAAGCAACATCATGATGGATGGAGAAAAGATTGAAACTGTCAACAGTTTTGTGGTATCCATAATTAACACCCTTGATAATAAGGAGACACATTGCACTGGCAAAATCTGCAGTTAGGGACCTCTCCAAATTATTTAGTAATGATGCCAGTTTGAGGACTAAGGTGCATGTGATTCAGGCCATAGACTTTTCCAATCACTTGCTCTGCATCTGACAGCTGGGTAGTGAATGAATAAGGATGACAGAAGACGTATTGACGCCTTTGAGCTGTGGTGTTGGAGAAGAGCACTGGACATTCTGTGGATGATGAACAGACAGATAACATTTTGGAGAGGGTTCTTTAGAGGCAAGAATGATGAGGCTTCACCTCATATACTTTGGGCATGTTGCTAGGAGAGGCTATTCTTTGGAGAAGGACGTGATGTTGGGAAGGTTGAAGAGTCAGCGAAGGAGAGGAAGACTGTCAACCAGGTGAATTGACACAGTGACTGCTTCAGTGGGCTCTTGTGTGTCAGGAAATGTGAGGATGGCACAGGATAGAGCAGGGTCACCATGAATTGCACTCAACAGCACCCGACAACAATCAGTGGGTAAGGAGTTGTGCTCCCAATTCAAAGGCAGGTGATTTGAATCTACCAGCTGCTGCTTGGGAAGAAGATAGGTAGCCTAATCTCTGTGATTTATAGTCTCAAAACCTGCTCGACGGTCAAGAATGATTTGATTCCAACTAAACAGCAGTGAGTTAAGTTTTCTCTGTTTAAAAAAAAAGAAGGATGACTCATTAATTTCAAATAGATAGGGTAGCTAGCTGCTCCACCTCCAATCGTTTTTCCTTCCTGAAGAAATACTGTACGAATGTAAGATCTCCCCATCAATACAAAGGATTTTTTTCCCCCCTTGCTATGGCCACTCTTCTACATGACATCTTTTGGCTCCCAGGAGTACATCTTGAAAACAGCTTTAGAGGTATCTTAGATTGTCAAGTAAATCTTTTGGTCTTTTATGTCTTAAAAAATAGTGGAATCTTTTTGAACCTGGTCTTACATTATGCTTGTATATGCAGACTTTTAACTGTATTTTTGTTGTGTGTGCCCCCCCCCCCCCTTTAAAGTTAAAGAGAAAAAAGCAAGTTGCTCCAGAAAAGCCTGTAAAGAAGCAGAAGACTGGTGAAACCTCCGGAGCCCTGTCCTCCTCCAAGCAGAGCAGCAGCAGCAGGGATGATAACATGTTCCAGGTGAAGTTAGCTATTTCACTTTGCTGCGGGGAAATTGGGTTTACTCTCAGAGAAGTGAGATTATTGGTCTATGGAGGTTATAATCTTCTTGACTGAAGATACAATATTTCTTTGAAATGTAAGAAAACAAGAAAGTTTTAGACATGTATGTACTTTCTAGTGATCATGGATTCCTTTAAGTGTACAAGTCTGTAGTTTTGCTGTATTTAACATCATGGAAATGTCAATGTTATTAAAATTTTGGAAAAAATTATAGACTTAGCAAGCAATTTGGTTGCTTGGCCTGTGAAGTATGATTAAGTTTGTTGGTGGAGAACATCAGTATGACCTGCCTAGTTTTAGCTTGTTGTTATGTGCCACTGGCTGACCCTCCAGTGGGTTTTCTGAAGCCGTAAATTGCACTGGTGTTCTGGTGACTTAGTGCTGAGGTATTGTGTTGCCAACACCGAATCACATGGTTTGAATCCACCAGCTGTTCTTGGAAGATGAGCAACATCCTTCAGTATGACTTCTGAAAAGTCACTAGAAGGTCACTTAACGGGTTGCTTCCACCTCGACGGTACGCAGCCTTGGTGGAGATTGCCCATCACAGAGTAGCTGTGTTTTTGGTCCTTTGGGTGGCAGCACAGCTCCCTACCCACTAACGCTTCCTAGGTTTTCCTGGTAGAGAGGGCAGGGAAGGTTTCAAGGAAAATGAGTTTACAAAAATATATAGCGGAGAATATAGCTGATGAATGGGCAAAGTGAAGGGAATTCATTAGAGACATCTGGTAAAGATCACCCAGAGGACACTAGTAGAACTTGGATTTCTTCACTAGTAGTTTTGTTTTTTTTTTTTCCCACTTTATTATTTTTGTGTGCGTGTACTGTCAAATCAGATCTGACTGGTACAGGAGGAGATTGCCCCTCCTTCCCCGGCAGAGCATCTGGTGGATCCGAACCGTGTACCTCTGGGATTGTAGTTGCACCTCCTTGCCACTAGGCCACCAGAGCTCCCCTTGGATTTCTTCACTAGTTTGATGGGGCTTTGATACGTCGTTGTATAAGAAGGATTTGAGGGGAAAGGTTTTGGGGTGGAGAACAGATTGCAGGTGAGAGCTTTTAGGCAGCTGCAGGCATTAAAATCTGTGTAGTAAATGATAGTGTATGTTCCCGCCCCCCCCAATATCAGCAGAGAAATAGGTTTTCTGTGAGTTTCTAGGGAGGAATGGATCTGAGGAATTAAGCAGTTTGAGCTGTTTTCTATACATAAGACCATAGACATTAAAGTTTTACTGACAGAAATAAGAACAAGAATTTTGTTTTAGTAGTAAATGAGTTTAACTGACTTACAGACCTGATTGTAAACATAAGAAAATAAGTAGTCTCCTGTGCACATGAAGGATGCAAACTCATTGCTGTTGAATCAGAAGCGACTTATAACTAGTTGACCCTCCGTTGGTTTTCTGCGACACTCAATGGCATGGAAGAAGATGGCCCATTTTGAACCACCAGAGATGTGCGTGACCTTTGGATTAGCAGTGCAGTGCCCTGCAGACTAGACCAGAGCTGTCTGGGGAACTGTTTATGTGGTAATCAGTGTGGTTGACTTAACCCTTCACGGAGGAGGAAGAACAGGTGACATGTAGATAGATGATAATAAGAAAAGTTGTTGGTTAAGAGCTTGAGAAGGAAAATTAGAGAAATGCTGTAAAGGGAGCATGAAAGGAAACCTGTTTTAAGGAGAAGACATAAATAGTACTTAAAGCTAAGACATAAATAGTACTTAAAGCGAAAGATCGAGAAGAATGTGACATCATACTAACATGAGGCTAAATAAATACTCTTAAAAACTTACTGCATAGTAAAGAAGACTGGGGTGGGGGTGGGGAATTGTACAACAAAGAATTTTCAAAGAGAAAAGCGAACTGGGGGGGATGGACAGGGAGGAAAATGTAAAAAGGAGGGAATGGAAATCCAAGTTCTCTAAATTTTCATTAAAATCTCAATTTAAAAAAACCCCACCTTAGTGCTAGCCTTAAAAGGCAGTGTTTCGGGATTAAGGTGAGAATGGAAGTTTGGTATTTTCATTTATTTGTGGCTTATATTTCTGGATTTAAAAAATAGACAAAATGAAAACAAATGCAGATTAATGTGATAGAGAACACTAATGAGTTTATAAGAAAAAAAATGATTAAAGGTCCTGGTAAACTGAATGCTTACTATTTCCTTTAGACCTTACTAGGTTCTAGACATGCAGTTGTAAACCAAAAAGATACTCTTCATTAGCTTTAAGGAATTTATTAATAAATTAATAAAACTAAAGTCCTAAGATTTAATGTGAAATTATACAGATAAATTTCTATACAATGAAAACTATGGTAAATGCTGAGAAGAAAAATGGCAAATTATTCAAATGAGGCTTTAAGATTATGTATGTTTAGAACCTCCTAAGGAAGTAGCATCCAGAGGGTCAACCTTAATGCAGTTTTTGGGAGAGGGAGACATTTTCAAATAAGGGAACATGTGTAAATACCTTGATGTGGGGAGGAGCTTGAATGTGTAGGAATTAAAAGTCTGGAATGCTCCTGAAAGTATAGTTGAAGAGGAAGAAGAACTAGTTCTTTTATAGGTTGAAAGCCCATGTTAAGGTGTGTAGGTTTTATTCTAAGAGAATTGAGAAGCCATTTTAAGAGACCGAATGAAATACAAAAGAATTCCTTCCTTTTCATAAACTTTCCTTCCATGTAAAATCAGTCTGTCTATTTTAACTTAATTTTAGTAGTAAAGATAATAATACAATATAGAAAAGATTTGGTGGGTACATAAGTATCATAGACTTTCCCCCCTGATATATAGTATTTATGGCCTTTGAATGGATTTTATCATTTCCATTTTATTTTAACAATTAAGAAACCAAGACCCACATACAGAAATTTTATTTCGTGAGAGCATTTTTAGGGGCTACTGAATCCAGGAGGTATTTCCCCGCTTAAACAGGGGGTGTCTTAATACCTCACTTGGAAAGCTCTTCAAGCCTTCTAAACTATTTACACACTACCTTATTATGTCCCTTTGAAAGTCTGGCTTTAGGAGGAACAGTGACCTTATTTTCACTATCTTTGTAGATGACAAGAGTATATAGATTTTCTGAGAATATAAGACTTAATATAGATGTAATTTCAGTTTTTTGTTTGAGATGATTTTTTACCTGTAGAATGGTTGTACTGGATTTTAATTGGCTTGAAAACACATTAGAGTACATTGATTATATATGAAATTGGCCTTCATTTAATATTAAAACATTAATAGCAAGTATTATCTGATATCCTAAGATGCAATTTTTAGAAAATGAGATAACCATTTCTTGAGACTACAGTTACAAGAAACAGTCTTCAGTTCTGGTAAGGAATTGCTTTAAGTGGTTCTCTGAAGGTAATATTTGAGGAAAGCTCTATCCTATCCCTTGGAGAGGGACGTCATGGTCGAGGGACAGCAAAGGAAAGGAAGTCCCTCAACCAGGTGGATTGGCACAGTTACTGCAGTGATGGGCTTGAGTGCTTTAGAGATTGTGAGGATGGCATAGCACAGGGTTCCTATGAATCGTACTGGACTCTGGCACCTAACAACAACAATGTGCAAGGAATCTAGTGTGACTTGGTTAGAATCCTAACTAGAGAGATTGTTTGATAGATACTTGCTATTCTTCTTAGCTCCCGAATCTTTTTAAGATTTGTTTCCATAGGAATGTAATTTATATGTGGTAATTTTTGTGTTATTAAAAGACAGAGAACTATAATTAATTACAAAAAACCCTTAGATTCTGTATTCAGAGTTGTGCTAGGATCATGAAGTTGTTAGATAGTTAACTGAACCTGTGGATTCTTCATGGCTTAATAGAACATGTGTGTCCCTGTTGGTTGTAGTTGGTCTTGTGAGATTTTGTTTGTAAATTATATTTTTAAGTAAAAGAAAAGACAATGGGAAAAGTGAAATGTACTTTGTTTAATTTTTTTATTTTATTTTATTTTTAATAATGATATAGTCAGTCCTTTGCTTTTTTGATGTGGATAGTGGCAGCCATGTTTTAATTGGAAATATAGTGAATGCTGTGAATAGAAATATGTAAATCACTGTTGAAAGGAAAATCTCTTTATGCTACTTACTTCTTTTGCAGATTGGAAAAATGAGATACGTTAGTGTGCGAGACTTTAAAGGGAAAGTCTTGATTGATATTAGAGAATATTGGATGGATCAAGAAGGTGAAATGAAACCAGGAAGAAAAGGTGAGATTTAATTTCCTGAATTTGGTTAAAATGTTAGGACTAAGTAAAAAATTTTCTAGGAAACTTAACTGTATAGGTCAAGGAAGACCCTCAGTCATTTGATTCTGTAGTCATTTTGGATAAGATAAACATTTTAAATGAAATGCTTAAACCAGAAAAGTAATAGCACTTTATGTGCCTTCTAATTTTCCTGAATAAGTGAATTTTTTGGCTTGTTTAAATTTCTGGTACTTCTGAAGTAGCTTAGATGCTACCTGTGAAGTTGTAAAATCATGAGGAGAAATTCCTGGTTTACAGTGTTTATTTTGATTCCTCATCTGAAGACTATTTTTAAGGGTCATTTACTCACTTGTTATCCAGTCGGAATCAACCCTTAACTGAGCCTTCATGTGGGTTTTTAGAGGCTGTAACCCACGTGGTAGGAGATCATCCATCTATCTCCAAAGAGCAGCTGTTGGATTCAAACCACTTCCTGTTGGGTTGGCGGCACAATTCTCTACTGACTAGGCCACCAGCTGGGCATCTGTGTTGCTTCCATGTATACTTCAGCCAGGCCCTAATCTGTCAGCATCATGAGTACATACTTAGGTTATCACCAGATAATTGTAGAACATACTTTGAACCACCCTTAGTGTATTTGGATAGCTAGTTGATCCTAAAACATGCCTTCTTATTTTCTTCTCTGCCTGTCAGAGCAAATACTTCTTGTTTGTGCTCTTGAAGATTTCTTGCTCAGGGTCAATCATTTCTGAATTATTTATTTGGTCATCCATGATTCAGAGTAGCCAGTGCTGGCTGTCTTTCTTGTTTGACCAGATAATGGCTAATAAATACAGTTTGATTAGCTTTAAAGTACCAGTGTATATTCTCCCGCCATCAGTTTTTTGAGAACTTGATGAATTCTTCGAAGATTATTTTATTTCTTTACTTTATAGGGATCAGTTATTACAATATTAAAAATTTAAAATACCAGGTACTAAAAAATACAAGTTTCCACATCCTAAGAATGCATCATAGATTTCATTTTATGATCTATTATTTCTAGTGTTTACTTAAGTGACTGCAGCAATGGGCTCGAGTGTGAAAGATGATGAGGATGGCACAGGATAGGACAGGGTTCAGATCATAATAGTTCTTCATTGAAAGGATCTAGTTTTAGTTATTCACAACAACCTTTTAAGGTCTAAGTGCCATTTTACTGGTTAAACTAAGGTAGATTTTTAAACATTGTATAGCTAATGGTGATGCACTGGATTTGACCTGACATGATTTTAGAATGTCTTCTTATCCAGTGTATTCACGTTTGAGTTTTTTCTGGATCATATCCCAGGGATCTCTTCAGAGTGAAGGCTTCAGTAAGAACACAGCATAAACTGTATCACATTAGATACCTGGGAGTTTTTGTCAAATACTGCAGCTAGCTGCATGCCAAATTGGGGTGTTAGGTGAGGTATCCTGAGAAGATTTGCAGGCATTTGAGTTCAGTCTTGAAATGTCCTTGTTCTTAGGTATAAGTTATAGTAGATGCAGGGTGCAGTATTAAAAAGAAAACTCACTGTAAGATATATACCTACCATTTTCAGTCTGCCGAAGACATTGTGAGACAGTCTAACAAATTGTACAGTATTCAAAATGGTTATTTTCATAAGAATGTTTTTGTTGTAAGTGTAAAAATCCTTCAGAAAGTTTAAGTAGATTTTCCAACTTTTGATTTTGAAACTTTGTTTTAGGTATTTCTCTAAACCCCGAGCAGTGGAGCCAGCTGAAAGAACAGATTTCCGACATTGATGATGCAGTAAGGAAACTGTAAAATCAGAGCCACAGAAAACCTGTACTGTTCTAGTCGTTTTAATCTGTCTTTTTACATTGGCTTTTATTTTCTAACTGTTGTTTTCCAAGCTGTTGTATATTTGGATTGCAGAACAATTTGTAAGATGAATACTTTTTTCCTTTTTTTTTTTTTTAAATGTGCATTATTAAAAATGTTCTGAGTGAAGCTAATTGTCAGCTTTATTGTGGGGGATTGCTTTATGCCCACCACCTAATGTAAAATAAAATCAAGTAATACAATCTCAGTTGTTGTGGCCTTTATTGAGTTGGTAGATACTGTTTCAAACCTAACGTCAGTTTGTAGACCTTTTGGTTTCAAGTCAATTCTATGTCAAGAAGAATTTGTTCCTGTAAGTGATAAACTCCTGATTTGGTAAAATGCATACTTTTTCTGTTCTTTTCCACCTCGTATCTTGGTTGTTGACCTTTCCACCCCAATGAGTTTCTACTCCTACCTCCTACCTTTTAATAATTTCTCTTTTCTGTACTGTTTGCTAGTGTCAGTAAAACTGTTTAGTGTTAATTACCTTTGTAAGGCACTTGGCAATTAAGTATATTGAATGGTAATTTGATAAACCACCTGACTGATTTAACGCTGAACAAGTGTACATCATTACCTGTATTGTTCTGTGTCAGTGTTAGCTTACTGTGCATCTGTAAAAAATAGTGATTTAGATGGCTGATTTACTTATTAAACACATTGTGGGATGATATTTTTTAAATGATAAGCTGTTAAGATACACTAACATTTAATAAAAATTCTGAGAGCTTTTACACCTGACATTTTTTTTAACACTTGAGTATGGATAGCCAGAGATAACCACTGAACTTTACTATCCTAGTAGATAATGCCATCAGTCTGTTTTTTTCTTTTTTTGTAAAGCAAGGTGTTGTGAACACATTTTTGGCCTTTGTTCAGAAGACTGGTGAATTTGTAGTTAATTTTCTGGATGGTGGCATTCTTTTCTTGATTCTAGGAACGTTTAGCAGACACATTTAAGTTACTTATATTTATAATTGATTGATGAAGGATGCATAGATATCAGGGACTTTGCAGCAATAAAGGGGAATGGTATGGTATGCCTTAGAAAAAGAATGTAAAGGGAATTAAAAATTAGGAGATGGAGGTGAAGAGGAAAGGCTTCTGTCAGGTTTAAATGGTATACACAAAGTGATAACTTTGTAAATATTTTCAAGTTCTGACCTTGTTAGGATACAGTTTTGGATAGAATAGTAAAAATGAAAAGTTAAATACATTAAGAATCTTAGGACAAATTATTTTTGGTAACACATCTCAAATAATTTATACCAGTAAGGGCTGCACTATTTTCCGTAATTTGATTCCTAGATTTAAAACATTTTGTAATTGAATTGCTAGGGACTTAATTTCAAAACTATCTTCCAGGCCATGCTCAGCTAATCAGTTTTCTTTCTAGGCTATTCTGTTTAGGTATGTTTTACATTTCCTAGATGACTTTTGAGTGTAATTGTGAATAATAGTAACAAAGTGTTACAGATATTTTTGTTAGAATACCAGGGATGGCTTTCTTTTAAAATTTTTTATTAGAATAACCATGCTTGGTTAGTAACTTTGTTAGGCATTTGGGAACATTTTGTCCTCTTAATAGGGTAAATTTGTAAAATATCCCTTATTTTTGGCATAAAGATAGTTGGAACACACCTTTGATTTTGGTAAAGTTGATGAATACATTTCCTTGATTTATGTGAATTTAGAGCTGTTAAGCATTTTAAATTTACTAATACAAGATGGTGCTGAAAACTTACCAACATATTATCTAGGTATTTAACTTTTTATTAAAACATTTATATAAAGAGTATGTATCTGGCAGAATTGATAAAGTTGAATGCTAAATTCATTTAAATACTGGACATAAAATAATCTTTTGTGTGTACATATGTAGGACAAGGTAAGAACTGTTAAATTGTACTGGAAATGCAGAATTATTATTTTTTTGTCTTTTATTTATTTATTTTTTAATTTAGTTTGTTTTTCATTTCAAGGAACATCTACAGAGATTTTGGAATTCCATTCATTGTTGCACCCTTCTCCCCGCACAACCCACTCCCCCCCCCCGCCGAATTTTATTTTTAAAAAATTTTCTATCTTGGTAAAATATTGAGATCGACCTGTTATTACCTTGCAGTGCCACAATGAAGTCTGGTCTGTAATCAGAATTTGCCCTTCAGTGAAAGTGCTTGGTAATGAAGTTTTTCCTCTTACAGTTTGAGCAGCATTTGTCCTTTTTCTGATGCTCTTGTCATTTAATTGAAAGAAAAACTGCTGTTACTTTTGATAAAATCTTTTGATAATTTATTTTGCTTTGATTTATAACTACCTAAGAACTTTTAATACCTCCTAACCTTATTAGCAATTCAAGATGCTGTGGTGACCAGTGTGTTGGACAGAATGTGTTTAGAAAAAAGACTTAGGGGGCAAAGAAACCCAGAAGAAAGTACATCCTGGTTTGGCTAGCTACTTTGGGCGAATAAAGAACTAGCTATTAGCTCTTTTTTTAAAAATGTTTTTGACATAGTATTAAAAGAGAACTGTGTAAGTTTTAAGACTTTTAAATGTGCAAATATTATCACTGCTAAAATTTTTTTTTTAGTTTCATTTTCTTTGGAACCTAATCCAGTGAAATACTCAAATGTTTTAAAATGGATTGTTTTTCCAGACAAATTCTAGGGGCAAACATTTCACATCATCATGGATATGTAATTCTCTAATTGTAGAATTCTTGTATGCATTGTTTGGTATATTTTCCATGGAGTTGTCATTGAATATAGTCCATCTGTGTATATTTTAAATGTTGAAATAAAAATAACTTTGCTTGATGGGTCATTGCAGTTTCACAAACTTGGAGATGAGTGAATGTTACCTGTTGCATAAATTTATAATTAGCAAATAGTATGTCTGTCTGTGAGTGCTTTGGAGTGTAGCTTAAACTCAGTGTTTTCTGAGCCTCTTCAGAACCAGGTGGTATGAGCAAATTTTCTTTTTTTTACATCAGCCTGATAATAAAGTGGGAAAGTGCAAGCCTGTGACCACTCTTTGTTTACCTTAGGGATGGCTTGCCTTCATAATTCGTTTATTATTCTTAACTATGTTAAGTACTCCTGAGTATTCAAAACAGATTTTCATTTTTAAAGTATTTTGCCCTTCTTTGTTAATCCTTTTTCCAGCGAAATGTCAGAAAGGTTCAAGGAAGACTAGTGGCACTTAATTTGTTGGATTTCATCAGCTGGAAGTTTGGGGTTTTTTTTCCTTTCTTAATAATGATTTTTTTAAAATGCAATGTAAATCTTTTTATAACATATTCTTTCCATTTACTTTTTCCTTATTCATTCATTGTTGCACATTTTTCTCCCTTCCCACCCCTCCCCCGGGTTTGTTTTTCTCTTTGAATAGGAGGGGAAAAAATTCTTTCATTGTTCTACAATCCCAAGATCACTTGACAATGCATTTCTTTTTCTGTAATCTTGTCATGAAAATTCCTAATCTTATATTTCTTTTAAACAGTTCTCTCCCTCATCTGTTTAAATGCAGTATACATAATCTCCTCCTTTCTTAGGTTACCCCCCAATCCCGATGTCAGTCCCATTTTATTTCACTCAGTATAATGTTCTCCAGCATCACCCATTTTGTATTTTATTTCATGAGTTGTTTTTTTAGTGCAGCATAGTATTCCATTGTGTGACTGTACCACAGGTTCTCTATCCATTTGTTGACGGGGACTTGGGGTTGTTTCCAACTCTTTGCTATTATGAACAAAGCATGATAAGCATGGGTGTGCACATACATACCTGCTTGGGTGGCAGTTACGGTTTCTTTAGAGTATATTACCAGTAGTGGAATTATTGGTTCAGATGGTATCACTATTTGCAACTTTTTGAGAAAGCCCTCCACAGCCTTCCATAGTGGTTGCACCATTTTACGCTCCCACCACCAAGTGAATAAGGGTTCCAGTTCCTCCACAACCTCACCAGCACTTACTGTTTGCTGCTGTGTTGAATTTTGCTATTCTGACTGGGGTAGGGTGATATCGTTTTGATTTGCATCTCTTAGAGCTAGGGATATTGACGACTTCATCGTGTGTGTGTGTTGGCCATCTGAATGTCTTTGGTGAAGTGTCTGTTCATATCCTGTGCCCATTTTTCAATTGGGTTGTTTATCTTGTGGCGGAAGTTTGTTTGTTTTTTTTTTAATAATTTTTTATTTTGTTTTACAGAGGTTTTGGATTTCCATTCATTCATTGCCGCAATTTTCTCCCTTCCCACCCCTCCCCACCAGCTCGCTTCCGCTTCCCCCTCCGAAGAGAGGAAAAAAAATTTCTTCATTAGTATATAATTCCCACGTCCCTTCTCCCCACCCCCTCCCTACCCCAGTACACTTCTCTATGCAACCTTAATTCTGGATTCCTGTGCTAACCATAATAATCATATATCACTTCTAATCTGTTCTTTCCCTCATTTGTTTCAAAACAATATACATAATTTATCCAGTTTTTTTCTGTCATACCCCCACCCTGTTGTCAGACCCATTCTACAACAGTGGCACCATGCAGTATTTGTCCCTTTGTGACTGAGATATTTCACTCAGCATAATGTCCTCCAGGGTCACCCACTTTGAATAATATTGCATGAGTTCCTTGTTTTTCAATGCTACGTAGTATTCCATTGTGTAGATATACCTCAGCTTCTCTATCCATTCGTTTGTTGATGGGCCCTTAGGCTGCTTCCAACTCTTTGCTATTGTAAACAAAGCTGCAATAAACATGGGTGTGCATATGGAAGTTTGTTTTTAATAGCATACTGACCAAAAAGTTGAGCCAGAAGAAGAAAATCATAGTTGTTGAAATATATGCTGTCAGTAAAATAACTGGGAGGTAAAAGTCATTTTATAGCTAAATTACTATCTTAAGTCAGTCAAGACTTTCATACTATGTAATTGAAAGATGTTGTACACTGGACCTTTGCCCCATCTTCCATTATAGAGTCAAAACTGTCATTCTTGGTTCTGTAATCTTTTCAGTCCTGTCTTGACAGCAACATGCCGATGATCCTCTATTTCTCTCTGAGACTCTTGATTCAGAGTTTTTATTCTCTATGAACAGTTTTTATTCTTTATTGTGGATAACTAAGGAAATTATTTAGGTCATCTTTTCTATTCTTGGGGAACCCTCCCCCCCCCCAACCATCCAGAATTTCAACACTTGAACACT